GTGCTAACCTTTTTAGGAACTGGAAAACTACAGAGAAGAAAAAACAGATGCCTCCTGCAATCAGCAAGCTGATAGGTAAAGGAGCACTATTAAATTTCACTTCATACACATGGGAGACATTTGAGATCCCCCAAACCTAATTAATCCAAAACACTCAGTACTCAGTGCCAGTAATAAGAGGCTGGAAACCTGGCTCAATTTATGAAGTACATGTATCTCAGGGATCTTTGTACTGTTAGTTAAAGCACCTTTATTGATGAGGAACACCACCACACAAATGCAGGCTATTTTGTGAGGGAACCTTATTAAGAGCCACAGACTGTGGCAGTGTGGTTTTCTCATCCTCCCAGCAGCAAGGTTTACAACACACATATGCATGCAGGTTTCCACATGAACACATCTCTGCAGTCTATTTAGGAACCAAATTAAACACACAAGTTTTGCAGGGAAAGAGATAGAGAACATTGCTATCTAATTGTTCACTCCTCACATCTTTACTTTCACCTCAGTTCTAATTAACGACCAGCTTCGTTCTCCACATGACAACTTTTCCTCTGAAAACATCAATTATTAAGAAGCATTCAGCAATCATCTAGACTTAAACTTGGATTTGCTCCACTTCTGTACCAATTCTGTGAAGGAGGCTTCTACCTCCAGTAACTATTACTAGTCCTTCTGATGCAGGGATTATGAAAATAAAGGAATGGTAACTATACTGGAAGCTGTCTCACTAAGCCTGTAAACAGTACATAACATTTGCATAAATAGGCAGTTAAAAATAAAGTGGGGTTTTTTGGGTGGTATGGTGTTGATTTCCACACAGAACAATTATTCCATAGTGGTTTGAAGGAAGGTTGACAGTAATACTTACATGGGACAAGAGTAGAAATGCTATGATTATTCTCAAAATGTTGAAATTTAAATTAAGTCAATTAAAAAAAAATGATTCTCTTGGTTTAAAGAAAGGCAGCAGTGCATTTTTCCATGACTATAAACAGGAGACAAACAAAACAGGACTTACTGCTTTCCACATGGCCACGTGCCTCCCTGGTACCTCACCAAGATGGCAGACAGGGGATAGAGAGGAAAACTATCTTGATTAAACTGCCAGAACCCAGTGTGAGAGATGGAGCAGAGCACAGGGCTGATGCCAGCAGGACAACCCGCTCTCAGGAGGCAGCCAGAACCTCAGAGTGTTTCCTGTAAGGAACACATTCCCAGCACTTCCCTGGGCTACTTATTTGTGTGTCGAATTGCTGTAGGACAGCAGTGCTTGTGTATCCAGAGCAGCCTAAGGGACAAGATGACACTGGACTATTATTCTCTGACCAGAGGTAGTCCAAATTAAAGCTGCCAGTGTGTGGATATTTGGATCGACAGATCACTGCAAACCATTTAAGCTTTCCACGTCTATTGTAGTTAGACCAATTCATATTAACAGCAAAAATCTAGAATAATTAATTTCCTTGCCTCACACTCTTTTGTAAGCTTAACAGTTAAAAAGACATCTGTAGAAAATCATAGTAAAATCGTATTAGTTCTGCACGACACAATGGTATTAGGGCTTGCATTTTATCCCATGACTTTCATAAATCAGGTTTATCTCTGTTGCAAGTCACACACATTATTTCAAATAATTGAAGTTAAAAGAAGTTTTAACAGAAAGGTGAAAGTTAACAGCACAGATTTTTTTTTTCTCTCTACAGTGCATAAGATAGCCAGTTAGAAGTGTAAGACAACAGCAATCACTGCCAATCTCTAGGCATAAACAGAAATTTCACCTATGTTTGGGACTTGTTACCTTCACAAGACGGCAAAGAAAGCAAATGCTGATGTTATGAGATAGAAGCAATGAATTCCTAGTTATATTCAATACTCACAACGTTCCATCTCAGAATTAATACTTTACCAGTCACTTATAGCAATTATCCTATGGTATTCCTGATCCAAAATGTGTGTGGAAAAACAGCTGCTTGCACAAATATAAGTGTTGACTTTCAGATTTTTTTTTCTAGCTTCAAAATACTTTTTACTTGGTGATCAATTTCCAATAGTAGAGAAACTGCTGTGTTTAGCAGTTATTAGCTACATACTGCACAGAAGTGTAAGCTATGTCAATTTACCCATGACCTAAATTAGGGTTTTGCATGGTCAGCTAGCTTACTCAGGGAGAAAGATGCAATAGTTAGCTGAATCAGACAACTATTTCATTAAAAATGTTTCATTTGCACATTCTAATGAAGGAAATGACATGATTAAAAAGATGCACCATTTTCCAGCGTGGAAATCTTAACCTGTAAGGTCCCACATAGGCTTTTTATGGCACTTCAGTTAATAGACAAACTATATATCACTTCCTCTAACCTTCAGAGCCTTAAAAAAAAAAAAAAAAAAAAAAAAAACAAGGAGCAAAATAAACAAAAAGTTAAGCTAACTAAATCCCTGTTGCCTGGAATGACTGCAGAAATACAGCTCGTGATGTTTCTGAACCTCCTCAATTTTTCACCTTCTTGTGGTAGAACAAAATCCTTGTTTCTGCCATGCTACTAAAAGCTTCAATGTTATTGCTGGTTATTAAGGAGTTGTTCAATCTACAGCCTTTCATCCGTATGCTGCATTTCTAACTTTGGTTTGGAACACGAAGAGCTGCATTAAATAAAACCAGACACCTCTTGTCTAAATTTAAGTTTTACTTAATGCTTTACTATTATTAAAAATGCCTATTTGACATGGATACAATGCGGACAACAGCTGCTTACAGGGCTAGCAGTATACTACATAGTATGCATTTGGATTACTGTGCCCTCACCCCCAACCCAGTTATGAGGCACCAACCACAATCAACCTATTTTTCCAGTTTTCTGTAATTTATCTATTCCCAGCTATACTACAACCTGCAATAGATATTATATCCTATTGCAAGATATAAATGTAGAGTTAAGGAGCTAAGAATTAGAAAATACTCGCCTCCAGGTCCTCCTCACTGAAATAGATTGTATCTGAAGGCATTCATTCCATGAAAAAATGAAAACAGAAAAAAAAAATTCCATGATACAATGTGCAAAGAGTGACTGGTTCAGTGATGGCAAATTTAATATTTTCCACTTGCAGACTGCCAGAAGATTAGATTGCTTCTGAAGATACCCATGTGATGTTTATGAAAAGAATACATCTCTGACATACTACCGCGTACTTACAACTCCCCCCCCAAAGTTTTTGATCTCAAAGTCTGTTTCTTACTTTTGGGAGTGGCTGGAGAACAGTCATCAGTCTGCAACAGACTGTAGAAATATGCCTCCTGAAAGGCAAAATAGTAAGTGCAGAAGTCTCCTTATGCATAAATTCTACTGTAGCTTCATTACTACATCAACTTCTGTTGTATGTCAACATTTCTGTTCAGAAGTATACTGCCACCTTAATTTTGGTATTTTAAAACTAGCAATGTAAAAAAACCCACCAGCATGCATCATGAGGGATGCACGTTTCTTCTCAGTGGAATAAGAACATTAACAAAAACGTACGCATATAAAGACAGAAGTAACTGTGCTTTAGTTTCGTACTCGGAAGGTCATCTAACTGCGCTGATCATTGGGGAATGGGAAGCTAAATGAACACCCAAGGTACTCACTGAAGTCAAAGAAATTAAGAAGATTAAAAGTGAAAATCAATACATTTCAAGATATTTTTATATGAGAATCTGCAGGACCGCTCCATTCAATCAAGTCAGACTATTGGGATGGTAATTTAGGGTATTAATCCACTGCACGCAGAAGTAAATTTGTTCTGTGCTGCTTGTGTGTTGTAGAAGTATTTCTGTTTAGTAATCTCACTTTAGGAAGCTTTCCCATTTATGTATTTTCTTGCATCTTTAATCTCATTATTCTCTTTTTAGCAACTTTTCGGTAACCAGACTAATTATTTCCATCATGCATAAAACATAGAGGCTCTTTCATAAAAGTTTTATCACAGAACAAACAGATCTCTCTCTTGTGCAATCTGCAATCTAACTTCCACACGAGCTGCAACAAGTGAATTCAAACAAAGTTAAAGGTAGGTTTCTGGCTTTAAGTACCCCCAGCACAAAGTGGTTCTACATGACTTTCTGGAGTAACCAGTCCTGCTAATACCTCACTTTGTTACTCACAGATTCTTCAGCAGTTTTATTTACCATTTAAAGCAATGGAACAGTGCCAAGAAAAACATGCATCCTTCTGCTGCTGCTTTTACGATCAAGTTGACTCTTGCACTCAAAGTCATCCCACCTTTGAAATTCTGCAGGACATTTTTGCTAAGAATTTTCAAATGGGTGGATGTGAGCTGTTAAGTACATAGAAATGTCAACACTGAACTCTAGATCAGAAATACTGAGTCAAGTCACAGGACATCTTAAGATTTAACATGTCACTAAGCAGAGTAAGTGTATGACAGTTTTGTGAGTTTAAGTTCAACCTTATGAGAACTTTTTCTCCTCCTTCCATTCAGTGGTGGCTGTCTCTATTTCTAAAATGATTTTGATTCAGTTTCAACCGTGTAAACCAGTGGTAAATTTTGTTCCCACTAACACAGGTCAGAATTAATAACTTAAAAACTCCTTTAATCAAACCTTAAAGCAACTCCAAGACTTCTCTCTCATACCTTTCAGTGAGACATGCAAAAACCTTACGAAGCAAGTACTTAGTTGTGAACATAAACTACAGCAAAGGAATTTACAGATGAAAATAACAACTCAAGCTATTTTTGTTATTGACTGTATGTCTTGCCTTATATCTTTCAGTTTTACATGTCAGCTAGTTTGTGCATTGTAGTGTCAAAAACCTGAAATGGTTCTGTGCATTTGTATGCTTATGAAAATACCAGAACACGATAACTCAGTTTGGAGGTTCAGCCCACAACCACACACTACTTACCAATTCATTTTTCTTGATGAAATCTCTTTATTCTCCAAACTTACTCTCTACAACAGCAGCACCATCGAGAGAATGATTAACAGACAAGGCAACAACAGTTGAAGAATGGGTTCTACTTTACACACTGGATAATGGTTCCAGTAAGAAATCACTTATGATTGTCAAGTACATGAACTCTACTTACACATCTCCATACTTAAAGCCATCAGTTTCCCATCTCTTCTTCAGTTATCATATCATGTTAACAGCCTTAAGGTAGAACTAACCAAAAAGTCAAACAATACAATCGCTATTGTTGGTTAAGATCAAGGACAAAATCAGTATTGGACAGCTAGTGGTTGGAATCTACTACAGGCCACCTGATCAACGGGAGCTGTTGACAAGGCCTTCTTGCTTCATCTTGCTTCATCTGCAACAAGAGTCACACTTGCAGGCTCTCATCCTGATAAAGGATTTCAAGGGTATGTTGAAAGGGTGATCCTTAAAAGGGCCACAGAGATAATGAGAGGACTGGAGCACCTCTCCTATGAAGACAAGCTGAATGAGCTGGGTTTGTTCAATCTGGAGAAGAGAATGAAGACCCCGCTGCAGCCTTACAATATTTAAAGGATGATTTAGCTTAGATGTGTGGAGGAACATTTTCCACTGAGAGGGTGATAAGGCACTGGAGCAGGTTGCCCAGACAGACTGTACATGTCCCACTCCCAGAAGTGTTCAAAGGCCACGTTAGATGTGGCCTTGGGCAACCTGACCTAGTACTTCATCCAGCACCTGGCAACTCTGCCTGCAGCAGGGGGGTTGAAACTTGATGATCCTCAAGTTTCCTTCCAACCCAAGCTACTCTGTGATTCTGCTGAATTAGGCATCTGTTCACAACTGAAAACAAAACTGCCATCACTCTTCAAAACAATTAAGTAACAAGTAACTCAGAATACGATGTTCAGAGATTTCATTTTGTGACACATTTTTCCAAAGATTAGCTCAACTGTAACCTGCTTGGCCAACAGTTTCTTCAGGCAGCAATTTTAATTTTTCATGAACACATTGCTCTAATAAAGTACTTGGCATTAGTTATGGCTTTTGAATTAAAATGCATTCATGACATTAAAATTTAAAATCACTAAGCCATTAGTTTTGACTGGCTTTTTTCTGTATAGTGTTCTCAAGAATAAGCAACTAAGAACATATTTCACCAGCAAAAGAATGAAAGCTGTAATAAAATACACATTGCAGAGAATAGTAATGTTTTATACACTGCATACCAAATGAAAGCCAAAAACAACTTTTCTATTCTGATTAAGGCTTATCCTTACAACAAATACCATAGTTGAACTTACAATCAAGGGCAGCCTAACTGTCTGCCTTCTATATTTTCTTGTATACTCAGAAATGAAAAGGTTTACAGCACTGCAGAACAGTTCTATAAGTTGCCTATTTCCAACAATGTCTTGAGTGTCTATTTTTGAAACTGTTTTGCTACAGAAATTTCCATGTAGTAACTGAAGAGCTGAGCTTATTCACTGACAAAGCTGATCTGTGATTTATTCAGGTACGCAAACCCACTATAAAAGGTAGTTGTCCTCCTCTACCTTATGAAAAAACTCTGCTTTGCCTAGGTAGCATTCAGAAAGCTCAAACAGTATAAATCACAGGCAGTGTAGTTCTTAATATGAAACCATTACTTCTGATATCTCTACTGGCATCTAAAACCTTGCCATGAAAAAAATGAAAAAAAATCACCTGCTGACAGTACAGGAACTCAATAACAGATTTCAAACCAGTTCTCGTCTTATCTTGTTTCACCTTGTTCATTTTGTACCTATGAAACAGTGTGGAGTTATGACACAAGATATTTAATAGAAACAGCTAATTCAATTTGTACACTAGTGTCATTCCACTGTTTAATAAACTACAGGCAGTAAAGTAGCTCAGTTTTAGTCGTATGTTTTAATTGAGTACAATTTACACACTTTATACACTTCTATGTAAAGTGTCAAACTTGCTCAACAATAAGAATACAGCTCACTAAAACAGATGTCTGATCCTGCAGCTTCCCCAGTTCTTACTATCAGTTTTCTTTATTACTCCACATTAACTTGTAGATAAATCAAGCATAACATAAGTGTCAAAAAATCCAGCTGTGCTGCAAAACGCTGCTGTAAGGCTAAATTTTTAAGTCCAAGTAGTTTCATAATCTTATGTGCAGATATTTCTGAAGTCAGTAGGAATGCTATTCTCTGACAGCCTAATTAAACTTCCAATAATGTCAGCAGGAATTTGATTGCAAAACGGCTCATTCTATAAACATCGCTACTTTTATGACTGACAAAGAGACACACAGCCAGACGATCAGGTGCCACCTCCTCCACAAACACATTTTGAACTCGTGATGAAAATTTCCTCCAAGAACAAAACCCCAGTGATGTCAAAGGTCTGCGCTCAATCCATAAGAAGCGGCACACTTGTTATAAACACAGCACAGGTTTCCTCTTCTGCGAGTTTCACATCCATGTAACTTCATTCCTTTGAGAGAAGCTACTCCCAATATATACATAAATTTACATCTACATCAAACCATCTTCTATGTACAATATTGGATGCTAGACTACACACTTTTAAAACACAAGTGAAATACAGGGCATAGAAAAGAGAAATGGAGTTTGCATATTTTAAGACTATTCCATAGTCTTTACACCGCAGTGCACGTGAAGCAGTTATGTTCAACATTCAGTATGTTACATTTGGTGCCCGTTGTAGATGTTTCTTTAAAACTGCATGGGCCACTGAAGTCTGAAAAAAAGAAAACCAACAAAACAAACCCTTACATTTGTAATTGGAAACATGTCAGAGTGAAAAAGCCACTTACAATCTCTCTGAAGTAGTAACAAACCATAAGTTTACCCATTCCTTATGGTACTCTCTGCAGTAGCCAGTACAGCTTTTTCTTAATGTAGCACAGGTTAAAACCAAACACTGAATGTTTTACCTCACTCAGATACGACATGCATGCACTTCTAATAATGCTTAGGTGTTGGGAAAAAAGTCATGTGGTGCTGACCAAACTGCCTACACAGACAGGAGAGCCTTCTAGCATACTTTCAACGAGCTCTGCATTGCTTGCTCTTCTCAGGCCTCCTTTCAGAATCTGTTCAAGTCATCCAGTTACAATTTCTAATCCTGGAGTCTTCTTTTTTTCGCTTGCTTTTATTTCCATCAAGATAATTGGCTAAACTTAAATATAGCAAACCCAATACAGCATGGATAGAAACATATTATTAAAAACCTTTCAGACTTCACAGTTCTCATATAAATTTAAGACCATCTTAAAAACCTCTGAAGGAAATGGGGCTTCTGGATTCCACTAAAATGAAGGTAACATCAAATAAAAAGCAAAACTAAAGAACAGGTAGACCACTTTACTTTTGTCAAGTCTTAAATGTAAAGTATATTAAAAAACATGGTTTTGGATTTCAAGAACGGAATATAAACATGTATTTTATATCCCAAAAAATCCATGCAGGTGTTACAATATCGGATCATTCTCTACATCAACTGGTATGCAACATTATTAAATAGATACACAGGTACCATAAATCCAAACAAATACCATGATCTTCTGGCCTCATTTATACTGTAGCTCAAGCAAATGTGTTCTTTGGTAAACTGAGTAAACTCATTTTCCACTCCGATGCACGACTGTTAGGAGGCCTTATCAGCCACTCATATCAGGAAATGACAACTCCTCTAGACATAGTCTGGGCTACTTTTGTCACAATAAAATAATATTAGTGGTGATATCACAGGTATAAATGCAAAGAAGTTAACATTATTCCTCCTTGTGCTGACATTTCCAGTGGAAAAAAAAAAAATCCAAACTGTCCCTTTCTATTCCTCGTTCAGTCCAGGTAACACTTAAACTTGTAGGAAGGTATATTGATAGATGGAAACATATACGTGCACGGTTCCAGCTTAAACAAAGAGACTTGAGTGGAGAATGGAGATTTAAAATTACCATGACCTGAAGGTATTTGTATTTAAGTTTGAAGATTCGGTAAAGTGGGACATCACAAATCCAAGTCAGTTTCTAGCACTCTCATCTTCCCTTTTTCCAAGACTGACAGAATATACATATACAGGTTGACATTTTGATTTCCAAAACAATCTTCACTTTTCTCGGTTTGCAAGTTCTATTGACTAAAATGTAAATTCATTCACAACAAAATATTTTCAGTAAGTGAAACAATAAGCAAAGAAAACCAAAACTAAGCTCAGAAGCTAAGTGGTTTAGAAAGCCTCAGGAATAACTATGTGTGCGTTAGCGTGTCTATAATTTTTTTTATACATTATATATGTAGACACATACACACATATATACACACACACGTGCGCACACGCGCACAGGCACACACACATTTGTAACCTGCAGTGAAGATCAATCTATTTTCTAATAAGGAACATAACACATTATTTAAAAATGTGCCTAATTTAACAAAACAGAGAAGAAACTGCTGCTATCAAAATATACAATTTGAATTGCAGACTAGAAGGCTAACAACATTAAAAAAATAGTTTTAAGCAAAACCCCTTTGCTTCTGAATAACAACAGGTATCAACCTGCCATGAAGCATCCAAACCAGATTTTATAAAAAGTTTCAACTGTGACCCTTCTTCATTTGTAAAGTTATTGACATAACATATAGTGCGAGCTCTGGTCTCCAAACTGGAGTCTCTTTCATTGTTCTCAATCCACACTCCAGGAAATGAACGGCAGCTGAAGGATTCAGAATCTCAAGTGAGATTTATGCTTCACCATATACCTAAAAAAACAAGCAAACAAACAACTTTACTTCTTTTTTGGTATGTATAGAAATTCTGCTCTCAAGAACAATAAACAGACTTTGTTAAAACTTATCTCTTAGACCATTAGCTAGCTGCTAAATAGATGAAATACCTTACAGGCCATCAAGCTCTGTTAAACACAATATTACCCCGTTAGAAGACAGCTAAAATGTCTGCTTCAAAGAAAATTCATTCTGTCACATGGGTTCTAACATTTGAAAATTGCTGCTAAAGATAACTCATTCAAGTTCATTCTGAGAATTTGAATATGTAGTTTAGCTGAGACTTTTAAATAAGAAGGCACAGAAAGTTTGACGCTCAGAATCCTTTAGACAACTCCCACAGGATTTTTCTTTTTGAAGTCCACTCAATCGTTCAAGCCATTTGCTGTGCAATCAACATGAAAAGATTAAACACTCATTAAATGCATGGACTTTTCTCTCCCTTCAATATTTCAACCGCTTAATGATAAAAAGTTTCTCTTCTACAACATGAAAAAGATATTACAATGAACTTGGTATTCAAAGAAGGTTCAGAACCAGAGAGAAGCAGGCAAAAGCAGCACCGCTTTTCACAGCTACTGGTACACCTCCAGTCATCAATTCTCATGCAAGGCATTCCTAAAGCACGTGGAATGTTTCAAAAATACAAAGTAAAAACACTACACCTGAACTCATTACACGTCATTATCTTTTCTGACCTACATCTTCTACCTGGTGCTGTGGACTCAGGAGGCACCAGACTAAGATTACGCTTTGTGGTTACTATCTTGAAAGTAGTTTCTCACCTTTACTAGAGACTGTCATCTATAGTAAGGTAGAAATAGGAAAGAGGAGAGATACAGTTCACAACTGCAGTTTGAATGAAGAGCTGGGGAAACAATGGAAAACTGCAGCATGTAGGGTGACATTCTCTGTCCCTTTGCCTCTGCCTAAATGGAGATGGGAAATCACTATTCTAGTCCACGATCAGTAAACCATCCTTCTTTTACATCTGTGGATATTACACTTTGGAGAATAGCATTATTAATTTGTACTGAACATATACTGGTATATATTTTGAGAAGTCTAAACAAATATTTACCACTTAAAGCATTCTTAAGACACTGAAGTTGTATATAGCACTCGTTTCCATAAATTTGTTATTCCTACTGAACATCACAAAAACACAAGCATAAAAGACTTTCAACATGAAATGTACCTGTCCAAAGTTTCCCAGAAGCGTAGAAATACTGGCCTGTCCAAGTGTCTTTTGTGGTAGCTTAGTTCTAACACTGTTACATCCCATTTCTGTACATTTGGATCCAGACGTACCTCATCATATTTGAGATGAAAAGCTTTAACTATAGGAAAAAAGAAAAGGTATAACATACAAACAAGAGGCCTTCACAGTATTTCATTATTATTCAAAAAAGTATATCTCCCTTTTTCAAAACGAAATCCAAGAATAAAACTAACAAGTCTACCTCTCAAGAAAATCAGTTAGTTAATATTGAACTGAATACAGTGGTCAGTGATCACTGTCTGGCGCTAACACCACACCACAGTTCTATGCAAAAGGGCTATTTTTAGCCCATTTTATCTTTTATTTATCTCTCTCAGAGCTAATTTTATCTTTTTAGATACATAAATCTCAGGAGAACAGTAGGAGACTCATTGCCAATTCATGAGCATTTTTCAGAAAGCCAAGATATTATTTTTGAAGATTTCTGAATTCCTCAAACCCTTAAAAAAAAAAAAAATAATAATAATTTATATATATATATCCCACCATAACAAAACCATAACAAAAAAGAAAGCTATTTCAGAGACCACTGGCAGGCTTGTTTAAGTCAATGCCAGTGTAACCCCCTAATGCCACATGAAGTACTTTGAGAAAGTCACTAACTGCCTATTTCCTCTGATGTAATGCTCAGCTAATAACAGTCAGATGTTATCAGTTCATTTCCTTTTGGGAGCCTTGTCTCATGCGAATTATGTAAACCCAAGCATTAGCAAGAAGAGTCTTCAATTTTTCTTGCCATTCTTTTTGCTTCGTGGGCCAAATCATAATTTTGATATGATCCAGCATGAAGTACTTCAGTCTTGTGCAATTCCTTCCTGGTAATCTATTTATTGCACCATCTATTTTGAATTAAGTCTGCAACTCCTCAAAAACAATTACGCACCTAATCCCATGCAGGACTGAATCTTGGAGGCAGTGAATAAGGAAATAAGCACACAAGGTATTCATAAAAGCTTTGTAAATTTTGAAATATTAATGTTTGTAACAAAAGAAAATAATCTAATATGGGAAAGAGACGTACATTATTGGGAACTAACTACTGAAAGAAAGAAGAGGTATTCTTTAACTTGAAAAAAAAATTAGTATTTTAGTATTTAGTATCATTTTAACTATGCAGGCTAGGATTTGGATTTACTTTTTGGCACAGCAAAGAAATTCAAGACAATTACCATGGTCCTCTACACATTCATGTATATAATACTAGCCACAGTAATTAGTGTGAAACTACTGCCCAGAGCTTATAATATTTAACAGCACTTTACTCAGTTTTGCTGTTCACCATTCCCATTTTCTTAATTCCTCAGTCTGAAGTTCTGTTTTCTTATTCCATTAGTCTCTTCTATTAAGCTCTCCCATAGTACGGTTTTCATTTTGATTATAAAAACCTTTCACTTCCTCCTTGTTCATTCCTTCATTCAGTTCATTCTGTTTTCTTGTTCACAAACATATCCTTCTCCTTCTGGACTACTCTCCTCCATCCTATCCCAAACCAGAATTCTTTCCAGTTTCTACTTCATCTTCCAAATGTGGACTCACAAAACCTGACCAGACAAGTCTCCTCACCATACTGACTAGAAGATGACTTTTTTTTTTTGCTTCAGAATTTAGGTATTTTGTGTGTTTGTTAAGTCTGCAGTTCAGAAAACAGCACATGCTGAAAAAAAGGCCTATTTACTAAGGCAACTTCACAATGAAAAAATAGCAGGAGAACAGAGGCTTACGGCTTCTTTACATGTTACAGTACAAATTGAAATAGAAGAATGAACTGTGCAATATAAGCGCACTGTATATACACAAAGACACAATATTGCTAATAGAAAAAACTTCAGATCTATACAGTGGAAGCATATAGTTTGCATATTAGAAGTACCTACATCTTATTAGACATTCAAGTTTTTGTCAAGACACCTGATCATACTTGTAAGACTTACTGAAATACTGGGTGATCAATCCTCTCTTCAAACACATCATGAAATCACAAGGACAGCTCATAAATCTGTTATTCTACCCAGTGCTACAAACATGGTCTTTTTGTCCACTTAACAGGCTCGGAAAGTTAATTCACTTTTCAAAACAATAGCTATTTCTATGAGCTTTCGAACAACAGAAAAGTTGCAGAGGTCAACTTCACATTTGGGTATTCACACAGATAGCAATGACTGTTTTCTCAACCGCCCCAGCACAACAGTACTCTGGCAGCATATTACCATGTAGTAAGCACACTACTAAACAAGAAACAGAACAACAAACAGTAAAACACAAACAGCAGCCTTACTCTTCGCAAAGATATCAACAGGTGATCCATCAGGCAAGAGCCACGGCCAGCCTTTGAACTGCCAAGCAGGACCCTGTACAAACACTGCCACCACACGATCCCTGTGAACATAATAGATGGATGGTCAAAAATACATTTTCTTAATCGGGAAACACATCTTAGCATGGTTTGTTGGTTGTGTTTCTTTTTAAAGCAACAGCAATCAAGCACGTGTAATAACTGCATCTTCAGTACCACTACTTTTTCTCTATTACAAAGTAAAGGAAAAAGAAAAGTTACATGAATTACCTTTCAGCTCTGTTCTCTGCAGGTTCATTTATCTCAATAGTGTTTATTTCTGGCCATTATTCTCTGGTTTTCTCAAAGTTCTCTACTAGTTTAGAGATATACCTCTATGAATTACAGGATAAACTGGCTGAGATGCAGCAACTTAAAAGCCATTATTTTGCATACTGTTAACTTTTATTCCATAAACTTACTACAAGAGACAGGCACTACTTTCCTTCCTCCAATTACAAAGTTGGTCATATATTGCAATGCTATGTAACCATTAACTGCTGTTTAAGAAAATAAATTTGTTGTTAAAATGATGAAGCTTTTATATTAATAACATTTTCTAAAAAACCTTTGAGAATAAATGTCCAGCCACATATGGTCTGCTTTCTTGAACACCTGCATCATCCAAGCATGGTTCCTACCTACTACAACAAATTACTGTGTATCTAATCCAATTCTCAACTTCAGTTTACTGAATTTCAAATTGGGAAGAACAATCAAGAGTTGTGCATGCATGTGTGTCTGACTATTTGGTGGTGGGTTTCGTCCTTTTTCAGGGAAGAGGGGAGTAGGAATTGGAGGAGACAGTCCTAAATCTTAATTGTTTATGTTGCAGCTTTTGTAATGAGAAGCAGAAAAGCCAGCAGCAACATTTCCACACATTCATTTCCAGATAGTAATGCTACCATGGATAAACTAAAAAAAAACAAAAAAAAACAAAAAAAAAAACAATGCCTCCCCCCAAAAAAAAACACTTTCAAAAAACACAGCGCTTAATTTTCTGAAAGTGCTTCTGACCTAAGAGATCAAGGTCTGATCATTTAACATCTTGAATGCTATCTGATGTCAGAATTTCAAAACCCCTGACTACTGATTAAGGGTTCTCTGCATTGAGAACTTGAATTCAGAATAGAACCTCTGAAAAAAACAAAAACAAAACAAAACAAACATTCTTCCCCATTAGAATCTACTTTGGAGGTTAAAAACAATCAGCAAAGATGGCCTGCACACCTAATATCGTCATGCCTACAAGGAAGTAGTAGAAATGTTTCCTAATTCATTGCATCACAAATATAGAATAAACATAACATAAATAATAAATGTAACAAATGCATGTTGCTTCAGCATTTACTTATTCAAACGGAAATACATTTTCATAGTATCAAAGAATGGCCTTTATGAAGAATATCTTTTTGCAGCTTCTTTTTTTTTTTTAAAACAGGAAAAGTTATTTCTGATTCCCTTTCCCCAGCTGAGGTTCTCCCTTCAGAACTAGGCTTCCATCATGTAATTCAGTTCAATCAATTTGATTCACTACTAAACCCATGGTTCATTTCTTTTGACTTTGAAAAAAAAAAAAAAAAAATAGCTAGAATATCAGATGCTGAAGATGTCTGCAAATGCAGTTTCCCAATAGACTCTCAGTCAGAAAGAAGATGAGAAAGGAGGATTTTTGCCTTGCATCATACTTCAATGACTTGCACACTACAGTAACAGAAACTGGAGAAGTCATATAAGCATTCCTACTTGAATTTCTGCAATATTTCAGACAAACTAAACATAATTGTGCTGCTCATACTGTTAAAATGTAAAATACTGTCCTTATAAAAGATTTTACAATTTCATTTTTATACCATTTTAACCTGGAGACAAGAATCCATTAGAACCAACAGAAAAACCCATTCTTGTATTCCTGTTTTCATTTTTTACGCAACTTAATAGAATTTTATTGGCTCCTTTCAAGTTCTGAATTCTCCCAATGAAGAAATTTAGTAAAGGGGACATCTGTTTTACCAGTCTTGTGGCATTAGTTTCAGAGGTTGGTCTACTACTCGGTAGGGTACGGTAACGCTGACTGTAGTTCCCCCAGGTTGCATCTGGTCCTTCCTTCTCTGTATTAGAGTTTCATTTTCTCGCTGACAGCCCTGCTTCTTCTTTTCGTCTGATGGTACAAACCTTGGGGAATAAAGAAACTGTCAGTAGACAAAAGCACTTCACCGTAACAGGAAACTTAACGACTTGATCAGATCCTTTCACTATTGCAATCACTGAAGCCATCTCACTTTCATAATGCTACACCTCCACGACTCCATTCAGTACAGCAAGATGAAGTTTCATAAGCATTTACAATAAAACTAGTCATACTAGGTCTTCTGCCCCTCAAAACTACAGCCATTACACTGGTGACATTTCTTGCCTACCTAACTCAACACGTCAGCAGACGAAAAGCAAGACCACACCCTGCTAAATGACATTAACTAATTTATTTTAGGGATTGAGGATTACATGGGGAGACATTGGGAAGCTTGTCCATTGAGAAATGATTGCTTGTTGGAGCACATTTTTTAGCTTTTGTCCTCAGGGAATTCAAACATACACATCAGAATTATTTTTTCTCCAGAAAACTGTGACTTTGGATCAAAAACACTGAGGGGTCTGTTTTCTGGTGGTTTCCTTTCTTTCTCCTTTTATATTATTACTTATTAATTTTATGACAGTAATTTTACATTATTAGATGATTCATCTGATGTATGATACTACAATTATGGCTTCTTTTCTTTCCTTTTATTTTAAATAGCTTCCTTGACAGATCAATTATGTTTGCAAAATAAGGACAATGTGATCCTCATGTCTCAATCTCTAAAGTAACAAAACAAAACCCACAAATCCTTAAGATTCAACCCTCCAACAGATTCCATAACTTTGAATTTTCCACCTCCTTCTTATAAAAAAGGCAATTCCATTTAAAGAGCTTCCTCTATATGGCAGTAATAAAACAAAATACACACAGCAGTTCCCAAAATTGGTATCATAAATGTGAGATTAGCGTAAGGCTGTTTGAATGAATCTCAAATTTAAATCTGGAATTTGTAACAAGGACTTGCACTTCACAGAACTAAAACTGTGTGACAGCAAAGTACGCTGACGTGACCCAGTATCACCTACTATGCCAGCAAAGGAACTAAGGAGAGCATGAGCTCAGAACCATCTTCTCTCCCCTGACATTCTATTCAGAACCACCAGTTGCACTCATAATACTGTTTGCTTCTGACATTTTGTTTCTTAAGTTCTGACCAAAAGAAGCAGTGTGTTTTGTTTAACTGCAGAAGGTATCAGGAGTATTGGTGCTATATTTTAAACACATAATGCTGTACGCAATTGGTGACATTTATCTTCATTATAGAACAGATGGCGCTTTCTAAAAGTTTACTGCATTTAAGGGTATGCTGTTTGAACAATTTCTAAAGGTATTCTCTTAGATCCACTCCAACTTCAGTACTAAAAACTACTTGAATATGCTTAAACAGTAGGTAGACTGCATTTCAAGTTCCTAGGAAAGGCAAAAAAGAATGAGAAGCCAACTAAGAGGAATATTCATTATTCAATCCACTTGAAAATACTTCCTTATGCTAACATCACACCTATTGAAAAAGAGGTATTCTGTGGGGGAATAGATGTGATATCTTTGTTTAGACCAGAATGTGTAAACTGCCAAGTAAAAATCTGCTAACAGTAGCAGTAACTTTACTTCCTACCTGAAAAAAAACCCCACAACAAACAGCTGAACCACTCCTGTACTATGCAGAATTTAACATCACTTCATAAACAGACTGGCCCAATCAGTTTTTGGAATGCATCCCCAAATGCATAGTACTACATTAGAAAATTATTTAAAAAAGTTAACAATAACTGAACTGAGCACTGGAGCTATGCAGCACTGAGAGGACAAAAACTGCACGGCAGCTGTTACAAGATAAACTCTATCTGTCTGGTGCATGCAAAACATAGAAAAGAAAACACAGTAAAAAAAAGCTCTAAAGGATGGATTTGAAAAAAGTATGCTTAGGCCGGCTAGAATATTATAAAAATGTTAAGACAGTAATTTCAGCAGTGAGTTTAAATACAATTAATATCCACATACATTGTATCTACCACATCTGATAGATACACAGAATGCTACCTTCACAGTGCATGAAGCGCAGCACTGAAACATTCAACACAGGTTTATTTTGGACAACTCTACCAAGCACGATAATTTAAAAGCTCAACAGTGAAAAGCAGCTTTAATCATGAATGCGCATAAAAGGCTGTCCTGACAACGTTGCAAGTTTTGTTTTACCAGCACTAACTGCTCTGGCTGGATGCATTTAAATCTAGGAGGCCCAATGGGACTCATCCCAGGGTACTGAGAGCTGAACAATGTCATTGTAAGAGCTCTCACAATTATTTTTCAACAGTCCTTGGAATTTAGAGAGCCCAGTGAACCACAAGTTGGTAAATGTAGCCCCAGTTTTCAAGAAGGGCAAGAAAGAAGACCCTAGTAATTACATTCTCACTTTGATGCCTGGCAAAATTACGGAGATAGTCTCAGAGTTATTGGAAAACACCTGAAAGACAAAGCAGTCAGTGGTGATAGCCAATGTGGGTTCACGAAGGGAAAGGCTTGTTTAAGAACTTTATCATCTTCTGTGATGAGGTTACCAAGCTGGCCAAGAGAAGGCAGTAGGTACCATCATCTGGATTTCAGCAAAACTATTGATAATTGCTTCTCATAATACAGCATGCATGAAAAAAAAAAACGTGATGGGTGAACACTTTGCTGACAGATTTGAAGAGTATAGTAAATGGGGTTACATCAGGCTGGAGGCCAGGCTCCATTATAGGACCAGTTATCTTTAGTATTTTGTAAGTCATCTGACCACAGAACTTGAACATATACTAAGTTTGCAGATAATAATAAATTGGGAGTAGCTGTCGACACCTTTGAGGGGTAGGTGCACTTTGCAGAGACCCTGACAAATTAGAGGGTGGGCAATCACCAATCACATGACGTTTAGGATACGCTGTGCTTTTAAATATACTAGAAAAGGTAAAAATGAGAACAGTAAACCTAATAATCTCTGATGAGATCATCTCTAATCATCTCTGACGAGACAAACACGGATGTGAAGAAGCAAATACTCTGATCCTTCAAGTTTAGCGATTTCACCACTATAAATTATATCTGAGACATTCCAAAATTGGCTGACACTTATTTTCTATTTTACGCCTTGCTTTTAATGTGTAAGAATTCATCTCAATGCTATTTTATTGACAATTGCTCTCCAGCTCAAAGTCAGTTAAAAACTGTATTACATAACCGAGGCTCAACAAATGGCGTCTTAATCCTGTGTCTTCTGGCCTACAATCCCCTTCATTTTAATTGCTATACACATCTGTAAGCTTTTGAACATATCCCCAAGACAGAACACACACCTTATCTGTTTTATCTTATTTTTTTTTGTCATCAAAACATATAAGAACTGTGAAATATATACTGTTCCAATAAAATCAAAGAGTAAAAAAGGTGGCTATTGTAATGAGAGCATTGAAGGAAACAATTACATACATGTATACATAAAGGAATAAAGCATGATTTACAAAAAGGTTATGAAATACATGCTTGTCTCTCAAGGACTTTGGAGCAAAGCTGTCACAGATTAAGCACGTGTAACAAAAGCCACGTGCTCCAGAATTGAGAATCAACAGAAATAGCTATATGAAATAAAAGAAACCTCCATCTCAGCATTAAAGAAAACAGCAAAAATGTCATATTCCCTCGGGAATTGTTTGCCACAATATTCTAGTTGGTGGTTTAATGACCTATTTTTACTTGCCCCCTTTTCCATCATGCAGTTTGATAGAAACGTACTGGAAACCTGACTGCACAGTAGCTTACATTTTCATTGCTTCTACATTTTCCTATTCTCTAGTCAAGAAAAATTTAACATCCCATCCCTATTTAGAACAAGTTCAAATCTCTTCTAGGAAACTAATAATGTTCAATTCTCTTGTTATTAATTGCCAAAGTGATTATTCACATAAAAATTGGTGCATTCCTTCACACAGCAAGTCAATTTTCTCAGGTAATAGACAAGTGATTGAACAGGATCAAATGATGGACAATAACCAGTAATACATCTCTGCCGTTGCTGCCTGTGTGTAGGCTCTGAACTCACATCAATTGCTAGCATTAACTTCAAGAACACTTTCACTCAGGTCAGGTCAACACTTTCTGCCTCACAATTTAGGCACACTGAAAAATGCATGAACAGACAATAAGGCAACTCCAATGCTGGACAATAATTGAGTTTATCATAACATACATTTGATTTGTCTACAATTTGAGACTTATTTTTACCACTCAAAACTTTTTTATTCAATTACAGAGCCAAAAGCCTCACAGACCTACCTCTGCAAGAGAATAAGTCATTTTTTGTACTGCATAATCCTTTAGACAGTTTGCTCAATATTAAAGTTGGATAAATCTCAGTGAGTTGTCAAGCCATACAGATCAGTTAAAGAAACTGCACTTTAACAAGAATTTCAAAGGCTTCATTTGCCACATCATTCTTAGCTGTGCAAAACTACTGATACTGAAAATTAAAGCAATTTCTTGTTTCTGTGACAAAGGGTCAAACGATAAATTTTCAGAGCTTTCTAGCCATACCAAGGATTTTTAGCTCCTCATTTTAGTTCCTGTGTAATCTGCTTCCTTATCAGATAAATAAATTTAACTACGGTTAAACGCAAGATGAGTAACAGTACTGACACACTAAAAGTATGTATTTATCATTTAACTGTTGACATCTCCCTGATGCCAACTCCTGCTCCATTTTAGCTATATGTAAACTCAAGTGCCCATTCCTTATTATCACACACTTCACAGAACTGCACAATAGACAGCACTGCAGCCCACAAACAGAGTGCTTCACATGTGTATCATGTCCTCCTTGCCCCACAGCCCTGGGTCTCATTTTCCCAGGGGACAACTCATCTGTACTCTGTGGGATCTCTTACATTTCCTACCAGACTCTCCAGCTCTCTTCTAGCTCCAAAATCCCTTCTTCATATACTTCATCATTCATCTTCTCTCATACACCTATTACAAGCTAACTACCCCTGAAAATACAAGCTATTCTAATCTATCTGCACCTTCTTCAGCAGGTGTAGTAAGCAGAGAGGAATATTAACTTGGATGTTTAACAGTGTGGGCAACTTTATTTTTTATTTTTAATTATTCTACAATTTGCAGTAAATAACATTTGTCTTCCATATCTCTGCTTTTCTGTCAAATACAGCTAAAAGTGGTGAAAGTTATAGCAGGGGGTGATTCAAGGCAGAAATTACACAACTATTTCTCTTGGAAAATCATCACATACATGTACACACACACACACACACACACACACACACACACACACACACTAGCCTTGATGTAGAGTGATACATATCTAGTTTCACACTGTGCCTATCTGAATAGTAGGAACAAATCCTACAGCCATCCCTAAACAAACTAATTCAGTCAATTGGAATACAAAAACTGCAGGCCACATGGCACACTTTCTAGCACATTACTAGAACCGTCATGGCAAAACTAATATTTTGCTCTTCTGAGTTCTTCTATTGCACTTCTGATTTGTTAACGCTCCCCGCTTCCTCATTTGCTTCCTCATACTTGTTAAGTATGTTAGTAATATCCTTTGTTCCCTTAAACTTGATTTCTGACATTGCTTTCTCTTCCTTGTATCAAGTTCTTTGCACGCTAATGATCAGCCCCCTCTGTGGAAGAGTCTTAGTGAACTTAACTGTAACTCTGCCCCACAAAGCTGAAAACAATCAAGGTTTCCCAGCACCGATATACTTAGATGTGACAAACACATCCTTTATTCCATTACAGCTATTCATCTACCAGCAAGTCATGAACTGCATAGATGAACAAGTCAGGGCTTGTGCTCATGCATTTGTTTCTTAAACTAAATACCCACATAATCAAACATCCTCTGTCAACATAATTATATCAGCCCAGTAACTGCTAGCACATTAAATTATAATGTTAAAAGCAAACCTCTCAGATTAAATATTTCAGAAGATGCACTAAGAGTCCAGTTTGTCTACTGGCATCTAGAAACTGGAAATAGCTGGAGATCAGAAGGCTAGATACCTAGTATCTCACAAAGCTGTTTTTAAAAGTTTCAAGTTGACTCCAGTAAAAACTTAGCACTGCAGTAAGGACAGTCTATTTTTCAAAAGTAAGCATATGAAGTCTCATTACAGGATAAAATTGAAGGAGAAAGAAGAGCTCCCTGGTTTTTGAACAGACTACTGGTGCAAACAACCTATAAATGCATACTTTTGTGAAAATGGCTGTTTCAGAAATGAACCAATATTAACAGACAGGTAACTCTAAACACCAGAGTCTCCTGATTGTGTTTTGTTGTTTATAAAAAAAAAAATCATAATAGCAACTGTTACCTTTCCACTAACAAAGTGGATTGTAATGCTGATTGCACACGGCCATAACTAATTAAATTTTCGGATTCGGAAGGCTTATTTAAGTCACAGTAGCTGTTTCTTCACTGTCATATCCTAGCAAACTACAGTGCAATGAATAGATTTAAGCAACTCACTAATATATCCCTGAATATGCATTATAATTATTTTTGTTGTATGTGAACTATAAAAAAAGAATGCCTATCACGTCAGCACAGAGTCATTTCTCATTTACTAATCTTTGCTAAACAAAAAATATGTAAAGAAAAATAAAGTCTCCATCTTTTTGGCACCAATGAAAAAGTAATTTCAAAGACATTACAGTGATATTGGCAAAGAAAGACTGAGCACATTTGTCCAACTGTCCAACCATTCACTGTCCTTGACAGTAAGTGATCCCAGCATATAAACGCTCGCTATGATTTGAGGTTGCAATTTTAAGAGACCTATTCTGATTTTGTACCTGCATACATTGTGTATATCATGCCTTTTGTAACTTTATCTCCTTTTAATGTCTAATTCTTACCTCTTAATTTCACTACTGCTGTCAAGCAACTTCTTCACAACCAGCACAAGCTTTCTAATCCTTTCTTCAGTTGTTTTGTTGGTTTTTTTTTCTAAGAATCTTCCCATTTTTCAAATTCATTCTCAACACTACTGAGATCAGTGCAATGCTCTACTCATGAAAAAATCCCGCTTTTCTACCTCTCTTTTTAAATCTTAGCTGCTATCTCTTTCTAATCTACTACATTACACAATAGGAATGGCAACACTCTCATTCGCACCTGGTCTTAACACTACCCTTCCTTCCTCACAAGTTAGCTCTATAAGCTTCTATTTACAGTTATTGTGCTAGATAAAAGTCTCATTATTACTGAACTTTAAGTAAATATCATTCATCCTCAGGAATTTCTTGTCTAAAGGTGTCAATCAGTGTGAGAATCCAATGCTTTCTGACCAGGGTCCTCCAGATATTCCAAAACAGAAGAGTTTTATTTAATATTGAATTTACAAATTTGAACATTTGACCTTTTATGGAATTTCAATTGAACAGAGTGATATTTTGATTTCAGTTAGTAGCTCTATAAGTACAATATAGCAACTGCAAGATGGAGTTAGATGACCATGTAGACAGACTCCTGTTATGAGTCACTGTATGATAACCGTCACTAGTTACTGGAACGCTGGGTGTTCCTAGTCACTGGGACAGAATCCATCTGCTGAAGAAAGCTCAGGCTTGTTTTAAGTTGATTTTCTGGGTTGTTTAACTATGCTATGTTAGGTTAGGCAACATATATACCCTCCTCTGGTGATCTGGCTCGCTCACGAAGTTAGATCTATTGATCGTCTCAGGGAAGGCCATTAACACAGCTGGTTCATCTGCTCAGCTAATATAGTCATTGATCTAAACCAAAAGCCACTATCTGCACTCCTTTTCTTTTAAGATAGTTGTGGCCAGTTCCTGCATTCTCTTTTGTGCCGCATGAACACAATGACTGCATGAACCTTGACTAAGTCCTCTGAGCCTTCTTCCATGGTAAGGGTTTGTTCTTCAGTCACACACACATGCATGTGCATTACATAAAAGAAAAACCACAATAGTCATCAGAATTGCAGGATCTTCTCAATCGTAATTTGGCTCACAGGTCACAACTGTGTAAACATTCTGAAATTAAGTTCTGGCATTTTTTATCACTACTGAAGAGGAATACACTTTTTTTTTTTAATAATCTAGCCCGTAAACCTAGCTGGTCATATCAGACAGTAGATACTCCCCCCTGATTACTTATTGATTTGGTACTAATATACCTTTTATATCTAAAAACAACTTTTATACAGCATGTTCTAGTCAGCTACTTACTTCAGATCTTGCAGGAGGTCCTTTGCGTTAAGCATCGTTATTAAAGAGGTTGTGGCTGCTGGAATAATGATTATGGGAGTTCGAGATCCTGTAGAGATAATTAAGTTGCATTTCTTGGTTTACTTTTTTTTTTTTTTTAATTAGAGAAACTGTATATAAAACCAAAACTCTTGCTTAGTGGACAGCAATCATGGACAAATAATCAGGGAAAAATGTAGTAAGTTTTATTTAAATTGAAGGTCTTCATTGACCAAATAAAATGTATGCCTGTATCAAGAGTCTCCAGGAGTCTGTAAATAACACTAACACCATATTTAGCAAAACACAGTTCTGCATGCTTGTGGTTCCAGTAAAAGAAAGAGTGGGCACAATTCACACAAAAACAAAAAGGACCATGTAACCAAAAATGACTCACCTTTTTTCTGGTTTGGAGGTGGTCTTGCTTGAGAAACTGAGAAAAAAGCAGAATGTATGACAGAATGACTAATACATAATACAAATGCTGCAACTCAAAACATTTCAATATTTATCCCACATTTCAGTGTTTTCAACCACAGGAGTCACACTACAGTCATTGGATTGTTTCCAGAGATGCAAAACACAAAGTTGAAGAAGGGCTTTTTAAACTGGGTTCCAACATTGAGAAGATAAGCAGCTTTTGACTTCTTACAGATGCAAGTATAATTGTGTCAATCTTCTCTACTTTTAAGCCAACTACGCATCCCCCTCCATCCACCTCAAAAGGAAAGGGCACGATAGTGTTCAAACATTGCCAGCAACTGCAAGCAAGTTGCTTGTGGATCCCAAGCTCAACAGCACTGAACCAACAGGAATAAGGTTTCACAAGATCATCTTTACAGATCCTCATCTTTTCATTAGTAGTAATGGTAGATGAGACCCACAGGATTTAGCTACCCCTAACATACATAGGACTTCTAATGAACTTGAAAATTCAGTCTTATTCAAGTTAGTTTTGGATTGCAATTAACCCCTCAGTTGAGCTTCCCCCCTCCCCTAATAAATTGTTTCCATTTTAGCCATTCCAAGTTTTGCAGCCTCCTCAATATCAGAGATACTTCAGGCTGAAGTCAGCAAGGCATGTACACTTCCTCACTTGGATGCTATTACTCAGTAACCTGCTTTCTCCAAATAAACACTTTATAGTTAAGTTTCAAACAGTTTTCAGGAGTCCTAATCTTAAAAAAAAGAATAGAACTCTTGTGCTTGATAGTCATCATTATATGTTTATCCTAATTCACAAAATTAGAAAACGGTGAGTAGTAGAAGAATTGATGCAGACCGTGTACATCAAGTCTCAACTGCCACTATACATAATATCTTTCATTAATTGACTTCCAATTTCATGGCATCATCTTGCTCATGTTTATTTATGACCAACTGTTCCAGAAACTGGCTAGGACAGCATAAATATTCACATGAGCAGTTGCCATTGTTGAAATATTGAGACCATATCCCTCAATTATCTTTTCCTGACACTATCAAATGCAGAGATATAATTGGTGATATTGTCTTGAAATGCTTCAACTTTACGTACTTTATTTTATTGCTATTTTTTAAGTAATTATCTCCTCATTGTAAAAAAAAAAAAAAAAGAAGTTTCAAAAAAAATACATGGATAGCATCAACTGCCTAGGAAACAGAAAACTGCATCTATACAAAAATCTGATACCTGTACCAAGACACTTTTAATTGAAAATTAGATACTCTAGATACGTCTCCCAAAAATCTTGAACTGAAATAATCTGATATATAGTTGTTCAAGACAGTATCATACCTGTTTTGGACAATTAATCTATATAAAAATGAAGCAACTTCATAAATACTGCATGTTTTAAGTATTTCAATCACTGTTACCGCTCTTCCTTCCTGAGGAGGGTATCTCCAAACTACCTTAGAACTAGCAGAAGGAGGAATTCTTTTCTGAAACATTGTATTACATATTTTCGTCAGACTGTACCTCTCCTTTTGATTCTATTTTCAAGTTGCAGTATGGAGGCAAGCTAAGATTAGACTGGCCTTAGAGAAAGGCAATATCATTGTAATGATAAAAATGCATTCCTACCAGCTAATGCACATGAAAGTACAACTATAGCAGTAGGTACCCGTGACAATCCAGTCACGCTTCTGCCCTTGCCTTTTCTACCCTTTTCATACTGCTGTCTGTCAACTCCATTTACATTATTGTGCTCAACAGGGCCAGTGAGATAAGTATGACAGGTAGTATGACCTTTCTAGCACCCAAATAACAAAACAATCATATCATCTGTGCTGAAAATATTCAGTGTTAGCATGATTTTAGGGAATTTGTCTTATCACATTATTAAATTACAGCATTAAATCCTACTAATACATCTCAGGCAATTACCAAGGCATACAGTCAAAGCACTTGGTTTAAACAACACAAAGCTCTAGCACAATTTCTAGGGAAAAAAAAAACAAAACAGCATTCATTTCAAAAGGCATCTTTGATTTAAAATAAAATTAACATCAAGAAAGCCACCAAAGAAATCAATACCAAATTATCCCTCCCAAACACATTCATAACAACAAGCAACTTGCTCTTAAATAGTAGTCTTCACTTTAAAGTTTCTTCCACCAAAACACAAAGTCTGTTCGTACTCTTAAATTCATCTCAAATCTCTAAGGGTTTCTCATTAGAACATGCCAAAATATCTACACTTTTCTAACTTTCAATTTGAGATTGAGTTTCATGTACAAAACTGAAGTCTACTAGACCACGAATTAAAAATCCAGCTGATATAGCTCTACTATAAACATACGTAAAGACACATGAAGAGGTAACGATAACACATAAAGTGTTAATACACTCACAAATAAATATTTCTGATATACTGCTTAAAGAAATACACATCTCTTTCTGAGATTTATTTTTCTGCTTAGGTTGTTTGTCACTGAGATATTAACCAGCTCTTGCTATATATTTCAGTATTAATTTGTGAATTATTAGACTTATAAGCAAGAAGTTTGTCACTCAACTTTCCAATTTCACTATCACAATCTTTCAAGAGGATGACTGGGCAAACAGTGAGCTGAATGAGCCCAAGCATCAGATCGTTACAATTCTCAAACTATGAGGATAACGTTAACCAGGAAATGATGCGTTCTTTCCAATGCACATGCAATTAAAGGCCACAGAACCAACCCTCACTTCACTCTTGAGCCAACTAAAATTTTAGGTACAACTCCTCTGGAGCTCGTACTTACTTGGAATAATAGCATAAATGAAAAGATGCCACCCTACCTGGTCGTGGTACAGGCTGTGCTGCTGGTGTTTGTGTTTTTCGAGCAGAAGCACCTTCCTTTAAAGAAGACAGAAGAGGTAACATTAACTGCTGGCCTTCTTGTCAGGTACAGTACTTTTCCATGAACACAGGGTTACAGAGGATATAACAAAAAAGAGCTCAATGTATTTCCATTATAAGAGAGAAAAAATACTGAACGTACTCAAAATTGTTCATAGATCCTGTTTTAGACACGGAGGAGAAGAGACAACCTGGTAAACTTTTAAAGGTTTGCCTTTTAACCATCAGACGTCAATACAATTTTTTCCTACATTCATAGAATTATTTCCAATTTACAGTACTGTTACATTTCAGACAAAATCACTTCTAATCCAGGCTTTGTATGTAACTATAAGCAATTGGCTACAGAAATTTTAAAACAAGATATGCAATGCATATCTGGCAATGCACTCCTGCTGTCTAGAGTTTTAGTGACCACAAATAGCACTCTCACGATAATTGGTTCTGCTCATGCCTTATCCAATTACCTTAATGTAACAAACAAAAGACCTGTACTGCTATTTATTCTTGTTAACTCTGCAGTTAACGCACCATGTAAGGAAAAGTGAAGTCACATATCTGGTTGCAAAGCAACATAAAATCCCTGCAAGAACAAATTCTACTCTTGGTTACTTCTTTCAAATCCCACCTGAATAATACGTACATTGCTAATCATGTAAAAAACAAAACAAAACAAGTATATAAAGGCATGTAGTTTAGTCCAGCCACTGAAATATGTGAGGCTGATAGAAAACCTTTAAAATACATCCCTGGTTTTCACATTATCTGAATTATAGAAAAAACTGTTTCAAATTACTCCAGTGTGGCATACGTATATCCATGTATGCTTAACAGTATGTTCTGTAATTCAGAATTCCAAAACCTAAAAAGCAGGAGACAACACAAAAGGAGCTTCAAGTTCCATGATTTAACTAACACAAAAATTGCTTTGCAGTTTCCACAACAAGGGTTAGAACTCAGTCTTTCATACTCAGCAACCTCCTAATTATCTTCAGCATAAGGACTTAACCCTCAGTGGCTAAAAAAAAAAAAAAAGACGAATCCTAATTTTTGCTGTCCTCTTTTCTGATTGTTAAAATACCAACACCTATGTAGGACACCTGAGTCAGTAACTGTTATTTTAAGACTTACTTTTATAATATCCAAGAAAAGGTATTTTTGCAACTGTCCTTTCACAGCAATTACTCAGATAATGATAAAGATCAAAACACCGCACCCTAAAAGGAAGAACATCAGCAAAAGCTACCTATGAGAGAGGCCTTGCAACTGAGAAACGACTGCTATTTAAATTTGTATCACCTTACTTTCAGCCAAGAAAATGGAAATTTTGCATCTGTTTGTAGAGAAAAATAGCACTTTCTACGTGAAAAGGCTGTTCCCACAGTGCGCTGATTACACATTTTGAAGACATACCAAGAATTCTCCCATGACATTTCTTTGAAGTCAGAGCAACACAAAATGGAAAGAAAATCTGAAAGCTACCAAAACATCACTTCCCATAATGCTATGTTTTGTATTTCTAAATCCAGCTTAGTTTGTTTGCACGCTTAACTATTGCTGGCTGCAGCCCCACATGTCCATTCATCTTTCCTCCCCCACAGAATCACTGCTGCAACTTCTCTGCCTCCTCTTCCACTGATTGCCACTGATTGAGTGTTTGCAATAAACAGACCTGCAGGTCCTACTACAGAGAGGGGTAGGAGCCATGAGTTGCTTCAAAGATAGTAGTGTTCTCCTGCAGCCTTGCAGAATAATTATCACTAAGCCTTGTTTTATTTTCCATATGAGTTGTGCTACAAATTTTCTGTCTCCAACATTTTCACAAAGCACCAGAACACATGTAGTCCTGTCTAATGAAATAGGTTCAAATCTTTTTTTATTTTATTTTCCTCTCCACATTTTTTTTCTGAATTATCTTCTCCAAAGCCAACAATAGAAACGACAGTACAGAAGGATAAGTGGGGTTTTAAGAACACAACTGAAATAAATAAAACCACAAATGCAATGTGGAAGTGTCTGATTAATAGTGGAACACACAGCCATTTAGATGAGTAGACATTAAACCAATTCTACATCTGTGACCTTTGTTTGTATGAACAATTTCTGCAGAATCAATAAATGAAAGAGGTCATGACTTTTAGTTTTTTAAATCACTGCCTCAAGACTGATAATTTCATGGACAAACCTCAGCTCACAGCTCCTGATGGCTTCTTAGCAAAGACACTGAGCAGTTCTGTCCTACTGGAGCTGTAAGATCCTTCCTTTGCAACTGATATACAACATCTCTGCACCTTATTACCGTGAGCGACCTAATCACCTCCTTCTAACGTTGAAAACTGCAGACAATGCAGTTGTAGAGGCTAGTACTTAATCCTAGACTTTGTATGCTTTTCTTCTTAAAAATCATTTATTAAGATGAGAAAAGACAGAAGTACGTAACAGAAGTTGACAGGAGAAAGATCAAGTATTTTCTATAAGGAAGGAAGTCATCAGCTTCCATTTTACATTGTCCTGAAAATGAAGGATATTGAGTTTATACACGATATGAATGCTTTTCAAAAGCATTTATATGGAGGTATAGGCTTTTCCCCATGACAAAGCACAGATTTATGATACACATTCTGTTTACAAGGCAAATATAACCTCAGAGACCTACACGCTATGGTTTCTCTCAGAGCAGAAAAAAATTGAGTTGACAGAGCAAGTATTGTAGTGGGTTCTTTAACCACACATGGTATGTGCAGCTGTTAATTTATGGCCCGTTAGCTATTCTGAGGCAGCTTCTCATTTGCATACTCTAACTCCATGTATATACAGCAGCTTATTTCTCAGTGAGTGCACAGAAAGATTTCACATTTCTAATGTGAAGTTTTATGTAGAAGTTACTCTTAAGTAACTTCACACTGCAAATTCCAACTCCAATTAGGGCAGCTTTTGTTTGTGCAGCTGTACCCTGAGCAGCAGAAGTCACTGTTTAGCTATTTAAAGAGCATTCAATTCAAAGTTTCTGAACACTTCACAGTTTTGCTCAAAGAACACGTACCTCATTCTTATGCAGAAGCCACTCGAAACCATTAAGGAGTACATTGTGAATATTCATAAGTTGAAATTAATTTAGTAACAAAACCATGTAATTTGAAAAACACAGATCTGTAAAATGACCACATAGCATGGTATTTTAATCATAAGCACCTTACTTGGTTTAGCTTTGCTAATTTACCATAGATAGTAACATATATTTCTTCTGATTTATATGAACATTTACATATAAACATTTACATGATCAGGAACAAATACTTGACTTAGAATGAAATCAGGAGAACAGATATTGAAAGCTGTCTTGGATTTCATTACATCAATTACAGATAACACACCGCATATACTTGCCATAGAAATTCACTGCTTCTCTATTAATGGTTCCTGCCATGATAGACACCTATAAAACACCTGTTAATAATAAGCTTTTTCATGGTCTGCTACTAAGCATTGTCCTATCTCAATTCCTACAGACATGGGTTTTATAGCAAACAAGTGCACAGGTATCAATACAAGCAACTGAGTACATGTTAAAAATCCAGATTCCCTCACACCCTGAAGGATCACTGGATTCTTCTATTATATGCTCTGGTAATTAAGCTCTTAGCATGTTCTGTCCTAAACACACAGGTCTAAACAAATTGCAAAGGTTAAAAAGAATGCTGCTTTTCTACAAATTAACTCTTGAGTAAATCATTAACGTACGACAAACAGTCAAAACAATTCGATGACTTCAAATACACGCATCTAACATCTGGTCTGGATGTTCTACTTTCAGCCTGATAGAAGCATTTATCTTCATATAAATAGCTTGGATTCTGAAAACGTAAGGTTTTGTCCTAAAAATGTAAAGTCCTTAAAAGCCCTGAAAAGAAAATCTTCCAAAGAACCAAGCAAAACGATCAGATTGAGATGCCTCCACAGACTTCCTAACAATTCTGATTTTTCTATTCACATCAAGAGTTTCTTAGTAATGTTTTAAGTTTAGATAGTGCTTCTCATCTTCATTTTATTTACACATGAAACTGGTAAAGGTTATTTGCACATTTCCATGCAGACAAATCTGCACACACAACCTCCCAGGACAGATATTTTACACAACCTCCCAGGACAGGGATAATAAATTGCAAGTTTTTAGCTGCATCTCTAAATTTAAATTATGCTGTAAAATAATAGACCATTTGTTAACAGGATCTTAACTATTGTACAAATACTGCTAACATCACAGCCATTTTAACTTGCATTGCTTGCGACATTAATAAAAAGGTCATTTCAACTACCTATATTGTGTTTCTACTTCCTTTTAATCAAGGAAATAGGAGGGAAATTGAAGCAGAAGCTATTGTTCTGGAATTAATTTTAAAAGGGGAAAAAAATACCATTATCTACCAAAAGATTAGGATACAGATTGTGCATGAAGAGTAATAACACTGCTTCACTGCTTTGCCAACAAATAAACAATTAATAAACTAATAAACTCAGATGACATTAGACAAAAGGGGTTACTAAAAGTTAGTAAGTAAACAGCTTACACTGAGCATCATGGCTTCTCAAGTACAGCATCAAGAAAAATACCCATGGAAGACTGCCAACCCTCAAGTCTGGTTACAAGAAAGAAAGAAAACTTAATGTTCAGCTTCTTACAAAGATAAAGCAAATTTCATTATAGGTTAGGCTATGCTTTGAAAGTACTGTTGAAGTACAGAAATTTCCCAACTCCAAGAAAATCAGATGCAGACAGTCTCTGCTGAATGAGTACGGCATTATAATGATGGAGGACAGGGAAAAAGGGGGGGGGGGGGGGGGGGGGGGGGGAGGGGGAGGGGGAAGGTGGCAAGAATAAAACCAGGGTGATACCATCAAGAACTGACTGAAATTTGGAGACATTAGTACTGGATGTTCCACAGCATTTAAGTTCAACTTTTGTTTACAAGGGTGGTTTTTCCTTAGTGCATTATTAA